GAACTCCTGACCTCAGGTGATCCACCCATCTCAGCCTCCCAAAGTGCTAGGATTACAGGCGTGAGCCACCGCGCCCGGCTCTCCTCACATTTCTAAAACTTTAGGATTTACCCAGAGGGCTCATGTGCTTTGATTCTAAGGCAAAACTGCATTTCCAGGTCTACTATCATTGAGTACCTGGCACGAGCTTTTTCCTCTTTAAAAAAGAGATTATTTTAAATGTCCTTTGTGGTAATGGAGAAGTGTAGCCCTAGATGACATGTTATTATTATCATTATTACGGAAGAATCTCAGCCCCTGCCCGCCCTGCTCTCGAAGCCCCGCGGCTCTCAGACCTCCAAGCAGGACTACAAATCAGAGGATTCTGGGGGAAGGAAGTGACGATCGGCGCAAAGCATGCTGGTCTCAGGCGGGCTCCGCTGGACAATCCTTCCTCCCAGCATGGTTCCTGGAGTACCCAGTGTTGCAAGGAGTTTTTAAACCGGTATTTTTCTCGTTTTTCAGGATTAAACGTTAAGTACCACTTGGTTTTGAGTACAGCCTTACGTATCGTGTGGCTTTCCAGGACCAGAAATCTAAGCTCTAGAGCTGTAGCCTCTGGCCCCTCGTTTGTGCACCCTTCAGACAAATTTTAAGGGGCATTTGTCATAAATCGGGTGCCTCTTGGTGGCGGGATCCAGCTGAGACACAGAGCCAGAGAGTGAGTGGGTGGATATCAGGAGAGTTCTGTGCTTAAGTTGAGGAGTGGGGCTAACTCCTTTCATCGATGGAAGGGAAAAGCAAGAGTTGAAGGGTTTGAGCATCATCTGCAGGCCAGAGTGAAAACGATTTGGAATGTGGTTGCGGACCGGAATAGATCTGGGCCAGATGAATTTCCCCAGACTGCACCTGCGGCACCTCGGTGACCCCCTTCGGCTTCAGGCTGAACTGTACATATTAACTATTTTACTTTTCCTGATAAACAAAAATTCTCAAGCAGTCTTTACCTGTATTCTTTCCCCCAACTATATTATCAGTTCCTTGTACTGTATTTACTTGTATTAAGCAGCTGATTACCAACTTGAGGCAAATCACAGATGTTCTCTGTCTCTACTGCAGGTTGGAGATTAGGGATAAGACATTTGCTTAAGTGGAACATACATTAACCAGCATTGGTGGTTGTTTCAGATCTAGCCAGGTGGCAATCATGGGTGAATGGATGAAGAAGGGCCCCCTAGAATGGCAAGATTACATTTACAAAGAGGTTCGAGTGACAGCCAGTGAGAAGAATGAGTATAAAGGATGGGTTTTAACTACAGACCCAGTCTCTGCCAAGTGAGTATGCGTCCTACTTGCCTGAAATCTTTGATATACTTTTGTGCTGCCTGTATGTTATAGTCAAACTAAGAAAGTAGATAAAGGCTAATTATTATTTTCTTTTATTTATTTATTTATTTTTAAGATGGGGTTTCACCATGTTGGCCAGGCTGGTCTTGAACTCCCGACCTCAGGTGATCCACCCACCTCGGCCTCCCAAGTGATAGGATTACAGGCGTGAGCCACTGCGCCCGGCTATTATTTTCATATAAGAATTTTTTGTTTGAGACAGGGTCTCACTGTCACCCAGGCTAGAGTGCAGTCCTGCGATCTCAGCTCACTGTAACCTCCGCCTTGCGGGTTCAAGTGATTCTCCTGCTTCAGCCTCCAGAGTAGCTGGGACTACAGGCATTTGCCACCCACGCCTGGCTAATTTTTGTATTTTTTGTAGAGACGGGGTTTTGCCATGTTGCCCAGGTTGGTCTCGCACTCCTGAGCTCAAAGGGATCTGTGCACATTAGCCTCCCAAAGTGCTGGCATTACAGGCTGAGTCACTGTACCCAGCCTACATATAAGAACTTAACTGCTGGCGGGGCGTGGTGGCTCACGCTTGTAATCCTAGCACTTTGGGAAGCTGAGGCAGGCAGATCACGTGGTCAAGAGATCGAGACCATCCTAGTCAACATGGTGAAACTCCTTCTCTACTAAAAATACAAAAATTAGCTGGGCCTGGTGTTGAGATCCTGTAATCCCAGCTACTCGGGAGGCTGAGGCAGGAGAATCGCTTGATCCCGGGAGTCGGAGGTTGTGGTAAGCCAAGATTGCACCATTGCACTCCAGCCTGGGCAATAAGAGCGAAACGCCATCTCAAAAAAAAAGAACTTAACTGCCTTTGAACTAAGTGCTATTCCAACTACAGATTACCTTATCAGACCAGACAAGTTTATAGAAATGGGGCACAGAAATTGTTCTTACTATACATATTTCTTTTTTGAGACAAAGTCTTGCTGTGTCGCCTAGACTGGAGTGATGCAGTGGTGTGATCTCAGCTCACTGCAACTTCTGCCTCTCAGGTTCAAGCGATCCTTGTACCTCAGCCTCCTGAGTAGCTGGGATTACATGCATGTACCACCATGCTTGGCTAATTTTTCTATTTTTAGTAGAGACGGGGTTTCACCATGTTGACCAGGCTGGTCTTGAATTCCTGACCTCAGGTGATCCGCCTGCCTTGGCCTCCCAAATTATTAGGATTATAGGTATGAGGCACTGTGTTCGGCCAATTTAATATATTTTTAATGGGAAGTTTCAAACATACACAAATGTGAAAATAGTAAAACAGACACTAACTTTATACTCCCTCCAAATATTTTAAATACAATTCTAGACATCATGTAATTTTGTTTTTTTGTTTTTTTTTTTGAGATGGAGTTTAGCTCTGTCTCCTAGGCTGGAGTGCAGTGGTGGGAGGATCTGGGCTCACTGCAACCTCCTGCTCCCAGGTCAAGTGATTTGGTGCCTCAGGCTCCTGAGTAGTTGTGACTACAGGCCTATGCCACCACACCTGGCTAATTTTCTTTTTTGAGGTGGAGTCTCGCTCTGTCACTCAGGCTAGAGTACAGTGGAGTAGTGTTGGCTTACTACAGTCTCTACCTCCTGAGTTCAAGCAATTCCCCTGCCTTAGCCTCCTGAGTAGCTGGGAGGATTATAGGCAAGTACCACCACACCTGGCTAATTTTTGTATTTTTAGTAGAGACGGGATTTGGCCATGTTGGCCAGGCTGTCTCAAACTCCTGACCCCAGGTGTTCTGCCCACCTCGGTCTCCCAAAGTGCTAGGATTACGGGTGTGAGCCACAGCACCTGGCCTAATTTTTGTATTTTTAGTAGAAATGGAGTTTCACCATATTGACCAGGCTGGTCTTGAACTCCTGACCTCAAGTGATCTGCCCACCTTGGCCTCCCAAAGTGCTAGGATTATAGACGTGAGCCACATTCCCCAGCCTATAATTTCATTTATAAATATTTCAATATACCTTTTAAAAGATAAGGACTTTGTCATCCAACACGGTGGTTTAAAAAGAAAAAAAAAGATAAGGACTTTTAAACAAATGTAACTGCAATAACTTTTTTTTTTCTTTTTGAGACAGAGTCTCACTCTGTTGCCCAGGCTGGAGTGCAGTGGCACGATCTCAGCTCACTGCAACCTCTACCTCCCGGGTTCAAGCAATTCTCCTGCCTCAGCCTCCTGAGTAGCTGGGACTACAGATGCATATTTTTAATAGAGACGAGTTTCATCATGTTAGCCAGGATGGTCTTGAACTCCTGACCTCATGATCCACCCACCTTGACCTCCCAAAGTGTTGGGATTATAGGTGTGAGCCATGACACCTGGCTTTTTTTTTTTTCTTTTGAGGAGCCTTGCTCTGTTGCCCAGGTTGGAGTTCAGTGGCTCGATCTTGGCTCACTGCAACCTCTGCCTCCCAGGTTCAAGTGATTCTCCTGCCTCAGCCTCCCGAGTAGCTGGGATTACAGACATGTGCTACCACACCCAGCTAATTTTAGTATTTTTAGTAGAGATGGTGTTTCACCATGTTGGCCAGGCTCTTCTCGAACTCCTGACCTCAAGTGATTCACCCACCTTGTCCTCCCAAAGTGCTGAGATTACAGGCGTGAGCCACTGTGTCTGGCCTAGTTATTGTTTTTGTAACTCTAAAAGTTAAGTACCCTGCCTTCTTTTCTAATACACATTTAAGTCATTCATAACCCTTTTGTTTAATCCTTTAATTGTATCCCACAATGACTGTCTGTAAGCTGGGTAAAAAGTCTACATGTTTAGGATCCTTAATGAATGTTTGTTGAATAAATGAAAGTATTAATTTCAAACAGGAGAGTATCATCTATTATTCTAGTGACCTACTTGGGTTGATGATACCTCTGAACTTACTTTTCCTCCAAAGTATCGTCCTTGTGAACTTCCTTGAAGATGGCAGCATGTCTGTGACCGGAATTATGGGACATGCTGTGCAAACTGTTGAAACTGTGAATGAAGGGGACCATAGAGTGAGGGAGAAGCTGATGCATTTGTTTATGTCTGGAGACTGCAAAGCGTACAGCCAGGAGGATCTGGAAGAGAGAAAGAACAGCCTAAAGAAATGGCTCGAGAAGAACCACATCCCCATCACCGAACAGGGAGACTCTCCAAGGACTCTCTGTGTGGCTGGGGTCCTGACTATAGACCCACCATATGGTCCAGAAAATTGCAGCAGCTCTAATGAGATTATTCTGTCCCGTGTCCAGGATCTTATTGAAGGACACCTTACAGCTTCCCAATGAGAGGCCAGAAAATGTGAACATACTGATTGAAAAAGACTATTTTTTGTCCTTCATAAAATGTTTTGAATGTGATGTTTGCCATCCTATTGTAGAATTTTAAAGGTACATTTGTAGGACTATAAAGGTACATGAGTGTGTGTGTGTGTGTGTATATGTGTTTTAATTCTTTGTTGTTTTGGTAAAATAAAAAGTGGGTTATGAGTGCCAATTTCCTTGGGAAATTAATGAACTAGGGCAAGGATAGCATTCCATGAATAAAATTAGCATAGGGACATCAGAATTGTATGGGTCTTTTCTTGTGATGGGGTTATACCCCCATTTTTGTTAGGCAAGAAAAGCATTTGGAAACCATGTAATGTGTTAGATTTAATATAAAACATTATGGTAAGATCACAGTCTTGTTAAATCTTTTGCATTGGCCGGGCGCGGTGGCTCACGCCTGTAATCCCAGCACTTTGGGAGGCCGAGGCGGGTGGATCACGAGGTCAAGAGATCGAGACCATCCTGGTCAAAATGGTGAAACCCCGTCTCTACTAAAAATACAAAAAATTATCTG